TATTCTTCACTCCTGCTCAATTTTGCTATTTTCTGGTGAATGGAACACAATTTCTTCAATCTCTGCAGCTTTATAATCTCTAATTTCAACTTCTCAAATTTCCTTTTTTTTAAAATATAGGTCTCATTGTTCTTTAGTATAATTGCTGCATTATATATTTTTCAACCTTTTTAACTTATCGTGAGCCTGCCTTAAGAAGGAACAGATATGATTACGCATATTAAGATGTGTTTATCCCCATATTAACCTGATAATTTTGTTACTGAAGATACCAGATTTGGTGTCTCTGTAATTTAATAAGAGAAATATGATCTCCATTGGATTGGTTATCTGGCTATCTTCTGCTGTCCTAGGGAACTGGCCTGGTTCGTTTAATTTGCAAATGAAACAGTGCAGCTACGTTTCGCCATGGACATCTTGAAAAACCCGAATCTTTGTGTGTGCAATTTTCCTTGAGGAAGCTGAGCTCTGATTGCTATATATTTCGGGAGGATTCAACGTGATTCTTTCATGCTGAATGTTACAGACGAGCATGATTAAAAGGATCACATTTCTTGTAAATGGAACAGAAATAGTTATTATTAAAAACAAACAAAGTAGCATCTTTTGGGAGGGGCTGGAGCAAAGTTTGCCATTTTCCCACTTTAACATATTCGTTTTCTCACGATTGCTATATGTTTTCAATTATTTTTTTGTTGTTGCATATTTGTAACTAGCAGGGTACCCGTGCTTCGCTACGAAACTATGTGGTCAGGCTTAGTTTTGGGGGAGGAAAATAAGGGGGAAAAAATTCTGCCTCTGCCTACCAGCATCCATCGGTATTCATCTGGCTAGTGTCCTGTCAGTGTGTGAGAGAGCTGAGAAACTGAAAGAGTATTTGCTGTGTGAGCAGGAAGGAGACAGCAAGGAGCCTGGGCGTGGTTTAGCTCAACTGTTCTATACTAAAGCTGCTTAGTGCTGTGAAACTGAAACTCCTCTCCTCTGCTTGTGTTTTGCACTTGGAGCAGATTTCTTTTCAGGTGGGGAGAGGGAGTAGAACTCCTTAGCATCAGAGCGTATTAATAATAATATACAAAATACTAATGGTCATTTTAGAAAAATCCTTTCTTAGTGAGCCCCTAGAAGCCAGGAGGAACATACGTGCCCAATTTCAAGTGTGTAGGCTTTACGGTTCTGGAGATTTTGTGATGATGCATGAGTGGTATTTCACTTTTATATATAATCTAGCTTGTTTAGCCTTAAGGATGCAATTCTATGCATCTCTTTTCAGAAGTCTTGCTTCAGGAAAATAATGTTTAGAGGCACGGGACTTGAGGAAGCCCTGTTTCCAGATGACCTGATGCTTAGTTGACACCGAATTGCTGTATCTCCAAAGAAGAAAGACTTTGTTCGTTAGAAATACTTGTTTTCTTGGACCTTAATGTCATCACCACAATGAGGAAAGCTTGTGAACCATGTAGGGCTGTAGCTTTGTGATATAAACATCTGCATTTAATCAACATTTTTTGTCTTCTCCAATGTGGTGATTACTCCCCCCCCCCAAAACCCAGATTGATGGGAATTGTAGTGAAACACTAATGGAAGGCTATGAACTTGCAAAAAGCTAGTTTATTCTTGATTGTAATGGCTCAAGGAAGGTTATGTTATCCTTCCTCCTTACTTTCATTGAAGGCAACGGTGTATTGAGCCCAGAACCTTTTTCAAAAGAGGTTCCTGCACAAGTCTGGTCGGTTTGTTCTTTGAATTAAGTCTCTGTGCAGTTCTTCATCCATTTATATGTGCTTATTTGTTCGCTATCTTTTTTTTTTTGCCTGCCTCAGTCAAAAGACTCTAGGCAGTGACAATCATAACAATGAAATGTTCCCGTTACCATTAAAATGAGCTAAAAATACAGAAGCAAAAAATAGTAATAATTAAACCACGGATCATATTAAAAAAACCCACCAGTTTTAAAAACAATGAAAATAGAGGCTGACTCTTAAAACTTATTAATTTACAGCCACAATCTAAAAATAAAGATTTCTAAGTACTACGAGAAGCAGGAGGAAATAGATATAGAAATGATAAAGGATAGATAGATAGATAGATAGATAGATAGATAGATAGATAGATAGAGACATATGTATATATATTTCCTGTATCTGTCTGTCTGTCTGTCTCTCTATCCTCTCTCTTTCTCTTTCTCTACATATCTGTCTGTCGCTCTCTGTCTATCTATCTATCTATCTATCTATCTATCTATCTATCTATCTATCTATCTATCTATCTCCATCTATTATCTCTCTCTATATCTATCTATCTATATATCTACCTACCTACCTACCTACCTACCTACCTATATCCATCTATTATCTCTCTCTCTATCTATATATCTATCTGTCAGTCCATCTGTCTATCTATCTCAATCTATTATCTCTTTCTACCTACCTACCTACCTACCTACCTACCTACCTACCTACCTACAAGATTCAGTGTCCCTAAACAGCATAAGAATCAAATCCCGACACACATACAGGTAACTTTCTCCTTTTTCAGTTTCCATTCATTGCTTCTTGTCTTGCCTTCAGCTGCTTTAGAGAATATGTTGACCCCTTCCTCTTTATGGCAACCCCTCAAATATTGGAAAACTGCTATCATTTCACCCCAGTCCTTCTTTTCTTTAGGCAAGCCATTACCCAATTCCTGCAACAGTTCTTCATACATTTTAGTTTCCAGGCCGTTAATTACCTTAGTTGCTGTTCTCTGCACTTTTCCCAAAATCTCAACATTTTTTTTTTTGGCATTTTGTCTCAACATCTTATCTATTCATATTTTCCTTTTCCACTTTCTTGAAATACTATCAGTTTCCTTTTGTTGACAAGGGAAGGTCCTTCTAAAAATATACATATTTAGTTTAGGGAGATACCTTCATATATTTTTTTTGTCCAGGATGTGGTGAAAGCTGCCTCTTTCCCAACCTAGAGCCAATGATGATTGAATGAACGTCAAAATAACTATTTTTCCACTCATTGGTTCTTGAAAGAAAACAGCTTTCCTGTTTCAAATAATAAATTAGAGAGTGAGAGCAAGACCTCACACAAACAATTTGTAAAGGCAATTGAGAAGTATAAGTTGCGTTAAGTTTCTCCTGCTTTGAAATATCTTCTGAAGGTTGACCTTCTTTCTTTGCTTGACATAAAAGTGGAAATATACATGTCTTCTCTCACCCCCAAAGGACCAGATTTTAATTTCCTGCTCAAGCAGGAAATCCTATACCATTCTGGACAAAATGGTTGTCTAATCTCTTCTTAAAAACTTCCAGGGAAGGAATACCTACAACTTCTGGAAACAAGCTGTTCCACCGATTAATTCTTCTAACTGTTAAGAAGTTTCTCCTTAGTTCTAGGTTGCTTCTCTCCTTGATTAGTTTCCATCCATTGCTTCTTGTCCTGCCCTCAGGTGGCTTTGGAGTATAGGTTGACCCCCTCTTCTTTGTGCCAATTTCTGATGATACTGAGTCTAGCCCAGGGGTAGGGAAACTTGGCTCTTTTTATCACTTATGGACTTCAACTCCCAGAATTCCTGAGCGAGCCATAAAAGATTCCCCATCCCTGGCCTACTGGTTTTTCAGTTGTGGGGGAAATCAATTTTTGACTTGAATGGGACTGTTTAATATACAAATGTAGGATATATGTCCTACATTTGTATATTAAACAGTCCCATTCAAGTCCTGCATTTATATATTAAACAGTCCCATTCAAGTCAAAAATTGATTTCCCCCACAACTGAAAAAACCAGTAGGCCAGGGATGGGGAACCTTTTATGGCTCACTCAGGAATTCTGGGAGTTGAAGTCCATAAGTGATAAAAGAGCCAAGTTTCCTTACCTCTGGTCTAGCCCATCTATGGTGGACTAAGCTGTAACCTTCTGCCTTTGGATAAAATGTATTATTATGAATAAGGTGCTATCAGGTCATTTCTGACTGATCATTTCAAAAAAGCTTTCAGAATAGAAAAGGATCTAGTTCTATGTGATGCTCATCTGAAGTTCAAAAGACCATGGGAAGTCATTAGTTTAAACTTCTAGAAAAAGGATCTTCCTTGACTTGATGCTTGTGGTGAAGAATCGAGTCTAAAAGGGATGGCAATAAACAGAGACAGGAGAGAGAATGAATGGTTAAGCCCAATTTATACACCTAGTCCTTAAGCACATTCACCAGTGACATGCAACTCCTCTTATTCCCAAGGCAATGAAGCTCTTGACGTGGATGCAAAGGCCTCCTACGTGTGGCTTATGAGGACGGGAGCAAGCTAGCCAGTTGGACGATGGCATAAACTAATATTGTGGGTCTCCAGTTTGTGGAAAGTTCTCTCGTGGTCCAAGTAGATAGCCCCATCATTTAGAAGGACTAGGTCACCCTTCCTCAGCCTGTTTTAAGGCTTCCAGATGTTCTATGATCACTGTTCCCAGAAGTCCAGGTCACTTACTCATTGCTTTTTAGCCAATTTAGGATGGTGGGAATTCCAACAAGTGATAATTTGGAACACCAACTGTATTTTTTTTTTCCTCCTAGCGGTCACGTCTTTCCTCTTCCACACTTACAAGGGTGCCTGAACTGAGCTATCTCTTCCATGCACGATTTCTGGTTAACTCTAAATAAATCAGCTCTAAATAATTTACAACCTTTGGGAATTGCCATTGTGTAATTTCTGGGAGACAACTGAAATAGCTTACCCTTCACTATTTTTATCCTCATGACTGGTGTGGAATCAAGAATTGATTTCCTTCCTAGTAAGAATAACACTTTCCTGAAGGGGTTTTTTTGTTTTGTTTTGTTTTGTTTTGACTTTTCACGTCGGGCGAAATTAGTAATGCAATCTGTTTTGATCTTGGGATCTGTTCAAGGTATCTGCCAGAGACATCTTGGCATGCAATCGAAATCAGTACATTTCCAGAAAATAACTGCTCTTTTGCTTCTGCTTCTTCTTCTCTCTCTTTTTTTTAACCCCATTGTTTTTTAGGAGTTGGTGAGAGGCGTACAACTCGGAGCATTATATAACACTGTCAGCTTAATCATGGATCTGGAGAAATCTTCTGTCTGGGGATCGCTGAAACAAAGGACGAAGCCTTTGTTACAAAACCTGAGCGTCAGAAGGACTAAAAAAAGCTCAACCAAACTCATCGAGAAAAGAAAAATTCATCCTTTAGATCGCCGACTTAGCTCCTCGGTGCCCGACGTGCTGAACATAGAAACAAAACTTGAAGAAGAGACCCATTACTCAAGGGCCAAAGCCATGTCCACTTACTTCCCAAGCGGTTTTTCTGCCACGGAGATATTTCTTGAAACCAGTAGTGACTCTTCCACCAGGCAGTCAGAGGAGGAATGGCAATGGCGGAAGGAGGAGACTGTCCGCTTGGAAATTGGGGTTCAGGAAACTGAAGAGTTGGTGGTTTCTGCATCAGATCTGGAAGAGAGGCGGAAATCCAGCGAAGATTTTTTTGAGCTTCTGCAAAGGAATACTTTCAACAGTGACGTTACAGAAGACCCCCTTGAGGTAATATATTTTGGGGAGGGGTACAGTTAAATCTGACATAAGGTTCTTCACAGCATGTTTCCTAAGCTTTGGGCAATTTTAAAAAATAAGGCAAATCAAAATGAATTTTTTGGGGTAGCAGGAGATAGGCTTAAACGTACAAAAAGGTTTATATCACTGGGCAATTGATGTAGATTCATCTAGAGTGGTATTTCTCAACTTTGGCAATTTGGAGATACGTGGACTTCCAACTCCCAGAATTCCCCAGGCAGCGCTATGCTGGCTGGGGAATTCTGGGAGTTTAAGTCCACATATCTTCAGCTGATCACACTGAACTAGAAGGCATTGATTTAGAGAAGATAATCCAAGCTTACATGTAGCTTATTTCTAAAAGCTGTCAAGTCCCTCTTGAGTCAAATTTAAGTGCTGGTCACTTCACATAATACACCCCTGTTGTTCTTTTTGATACAAGGTGGGAATGATTTGACACTGCCTTGTTGTTCTGTTTGTAACAACTCAGTTTAGTCTACAATCCAAGACGCTCAATTTCAATACTACACAGCTTTTCTGAGATCAGCCAAAGGACCTGTCTGTAAGTCAAGATCAACTCAAAGGCATTGTTATTGTAAATGGTATTTCTATTTTAAAAATAAATGAAGCTTTTGAATCATTGTCATTGTAGCTTTCTTCAGCCTGTCATATTCCCGCTCCCCACATTTAAGGTTTTGTAGTCACAACATATTAAGTTGAATTTACTTACAGGAAATTGAGTGAAAACTTCTTCCATTTGAGCCAAAGTATATTTAAGGCAGACAAACAAAGTGGCAGATATTCAATCACTTTAGAAACAATTTTAGGAAATCATAGATTCTTTAAATTTCAAACTCCTACAATCTTATTGGCCATTTCCTGTTTAGACAATTAAATTTTCTCTTGCTAGATTCTCTGCTTTCAGTTTGACTGATATGCTGTCTAAACTTTCTCTTCTCTTCTCTTCTCTTCTCTTCTCTTCTCTTCTCTTCTCTTCTCTTCTTATTCCTCCCCCTCTTTCTCCATCTCCACCTCCACCTCCACCTCCATCTCTATATCTCTTTCTATCACTCTATCTCTTTCTATCTCTCTGTCTCTCTGTCTTGACCTTACCGGCAGTCTTCTAGTTATACGCAACTTCATTTTCTCTCCTAGATTCTCTGCTTTCTGTGTGACTGATTTGCTCTCCCTCTTGCTCTCGTTTTCTTTATCTCCGTGATGGTATCAAAAATAATTGAGTGTGTAGGATTGTTTGTTTCCCATTTGCATCTCAAAAAGACATCAATTGGCTTAATATTTAGCATTAAACAGAACGATAAAATTAAGGGTTACTCATCTGGGTAACCTCTGTTGCACACAAACCAAAATACACATTTTATTTCTGGGTAAAAAAAAATATCTAGTAATACTGAATTTAAAAATCAGTCAAAAGCTATTTGAGGCAAGCGGCAGCTGTTGATATGGGAACTAAGTACCTCTGTTGACATTCTGATGTTTCATCCTTGACTTGAAAGCTTTTGTCTCTATTTTTCAGTTGACTCATATAATTTAGCTGAAACAAACCCTCCAATTTTCTTCTCGGGGTATTTTGAACATGCTGCCTTGCAGGAACTATTTTGGGGACTAGAAATATTGCACATCAGATTAGATGGAGATGGTTCAAATCTCTCCCCCATCTTAGAAATCTTTCAGATAGTTATGGGTGCTCCATCACTGGAGGATTATAAGAAGAGATTGGACAGCCATTTGTCTGGAAAGGAATAGGGTCCCTTACTCAAGCGGGGGGTTGGAATAGAAGATCTCTAAGGCCCCTTCCATCTCAGTTATTCTGTTATTCCTGAATCCCCATGAGATTTAATAACCTCATAATCTTTCCCAGAAACCTTGAAAAATTCCTGCAATCTCACAAGGCCTCAGATAATTGATATCATTTGGAAGGGGAACCCTGTAAGGGTCTCTTGTCTTGTCATGCCCCAAATCCAAGGAGGAAGATGAACAGCCATCAGGGAGCGGGAAAGAGTAGAGGAAACTGGGGAAGGACAAAATCAGGATGGGCAGAGCCTGTCAGTGTAGCAGATAATTTTGTGTACTAAGCTTAGATCAGACCGGAGTAGTTCTAGGTTGTCCAGTCCAAAATTTCAAGACTGGGGAAGGCATAAGGTATTCTATTGCGAGGGGAGGAGTGGAGGACTCTCCTCGTGAAATAACCTTCTGATCCGCTCAGTTGTATTAATGTCCGTTATACAGTGAGGATTCCAGGCAGATGAGCTGTATTCGAGAATTGGTCTGGCGAAGGTTTTGTATGCCCCGGTTTGCAGTACAGTGTTACCGGGTAAGAAGCTTCTCCTGTAACATTGAACTGCAGTGTCCTGAGATCGCATGATCACCATTTTTGAGCTTCCCGATCGACTTCAGACAAGCAGAGTCAATGAGGGAAGCCAGATTTGTTTATCGGTTGCCTGATCCACTTAGCAACGGTGGCGAAAAGATTGCAGAACTGGGTGTGACTCACTTAATGACCATCTTGCTTAGCAAGAGAAATCCTGATCCCATTGTGGGTCGTAGGACTACCTGTATTGTTCTTAGGTAAACACTGGTTGAACCCTTCATCAATGCATCGCGATGACGTGTCAACAAAATCTCCCTAATTCTCAATATTTTTTTTCTGCAGCAATCCTACGGAGATTCCAGCCTTGACTCTTCATATTCGTCTCAGATATCTGAACCTGTGAGTAATTTTGTTGTTCTCATTGAAACGGAGTGAAACTCAAGAAATAGCGGTTAATTGGATGGTTCTAAATATCAGTTCAGCCATACTTTAGTGGAGAGAGATTTCTGTGTATTGGGGCTGAGTTTTTTAACAGCCACATCGGACAATGTTTGCAACAGAAATTATTTGATTATTTCTTCTAGTTCAGAGGTGGTATTCAGCCAGTTCTGACCAGTTCTGGAGAACCAGTAGCAGAAATTTTGAGCGGTTCGGAGAACCAGCCAATACCACTTCTGACTGGCCTGCCAATCCCATCTCTTCTCTGCCTCCCATCGAGTCCCAGCTGATTGGCTGGGTCTCCTTTGGTTGCCCTGTACAGGAGAATGGAGCTGGAAAGCAGGTTAGTGGGTCGGGGAGGGAATGGGGATTTTGCACGCTATGCCCACAGAACCACGAGTAAATTTTTTTGACTCCCATCACTGTTCTAGTTCCGTGTTTTTTTTTGGAGAGATCCAAGTGGCCTGGCTCATCATGTGGAAACACGCAGCTTATAAAAAACACAGAACATTGACCGAAATCAGAGGCACTCTCTGTGTATTTATTTACTTCATAGGTTGCTCAAAGTACAGTCCAGAAAAAAAAAAGAAGAGAAAAACGAGGAAGCCAAACAGAAAATCAGAAAGTGATTTACAAACTTTTAAAACTGATTGAAATTTTTGAAGCAACGCCAGATCAGTGCTGCCTATAGAAGTAGACAAAAAAAAATAATCAGTCGGTATTAAACAAAGATAACGTCTTTAATATGGATCTTGACTCAAACAATTAACCAAAGTTTCTATCTGATCTAAAAAGTTCCAACCTTATTTAACAAGACAGGCAAAAGCTAATATGTGAAAACTGTAAGCTAAAGAGGCTCACAAATTTGAATGGGTTCTAAGTCAATATTTAGAGCTGTACAGATTTTCAAGTTGAATTAAATTTTATACCAGATTTATTTTAGACAGTGATGTGCGTTCCCATAGTTTAATTTGCCAGTTTGCTAAAGAGCGGGATTGTATATGATTTCCAGGAAGAAGCATAAAACATTCTGACAGATATATTTGGTTTGGAGACCAAGAATTGCTTAAGTAGTCATGGAGCTGACAGAACACACAATGGAGAAGGGGGTGGATGACGGTTGATTTGATAGTGGTTAAATCAAGAGTTGACTGCAGCAGGGAATTTGACTTTTTGTGAAGTCAGTTCCTAGTGTTATGGTTTGCTGATAGCCGGTGCAGCCGGCAGCGGAATAGGACAGTGGAGAAAAATGGGGATCAATCCAGGAGTCTGGAGAGGACTCGGATGATGGTCCTGCATCCAGTGCAGAGATGGGGCCAGGACCATCTGGGAGTGGTATGCTGACTCTGGAGCCTCCGGAGTCTGGCAGCAGCGAGGCAGAGGACCCAGGGGAGCCTGTTCCCAGTGCATGTGTGCGCAGAGCTGCTAGAAGGCAAGAGAGCTGAGACAAAAGGGGCAACTCTTGGAGGCTTGGAGGTGATTGCCCCTCCCATAAGGTATAAAGGACAGGCAAAGATGATGAAACCTTTGCAGGAAGCAAAGTCGTTCATTCGGTTCAGATTCATTCTTGAAGCTCTTTGTACTTCGGTTGGTTTCTTTTCTAGTTCACTTGGCCCTTCTGTTATTGGCAGCACTTCACAGGAAAGAAAGGTGGGTGATTATCTCGAGATACTGTTTGAGATTCATTACAGGCTGGGAATGAAAATAATTCCCAGCATTGCAATGAAATAAGACTTGTTTTTAAAATAAGTGTGTGTGTGTGTTTACGGTCTTGGAAGCCTTAGTCAGAACATCTAGAAGGGTGATTGAGCATTGTCTGTGTTGGCTCTTCAGGGGAAATGAAACTGATAGCTGACTTTCTTTTTTTCAAAACCTTTTTCTAGACTCTTGAGGGAGCCGGTGATGGTTTGAATAAACCCAGTTCCTTTGCATATCTGCTGATGATACACCTGAAGGAAGGCAGGAACCTGGTCATCCGGGATCGCTGTGGTGAGTCACTTTCTAAATCGTTTCTGAGTTCTGAGGCACATAAATGCAGATATCCATTTAAGTCTGTGTACGTTTATGTTTCTGTGAGAAATTATGCTACTGACTCGAATTGTGGTTCTCCGTAGAACCCTCTGAGACTTCCAAGTTGACAGATTGGTAATAATGGTCAGTGATCAGCAAAGTTTAAAAGAACAAAAACAGAGTGAAGTGAGCACAAGAGGGAAAGAATTATGGAATAAATGCAGAAAGAGGGAGGGAGGGAAGGAAGGAAATAATCACAGGTTTGAGTAAAAAGCTCTTAATTCTTTCTCCTGTTAAAGAACAATGTACACATGATTCTTTTTTTCTCTTTCCTTTCCCTTTCTGTTTCATTTCCTTTCACTTCCCTTCCTTTCTTTTCCCTTTCCCTTTTCCCTTCCCTTTCTCCCCCTTTTCACTTCCCTTCCTTTCTTTTTCCTTTCCTCTTCCCTTTCTCCTTTCCTTTCCTTCTCCTTCTCTTCCCTTCTTTTCCCTTTCTCCTTCCCCTTTCCTTTCCCTTCCCTTTCTTTTTTTCTTGCTAGAGAACTACATTTCATGTAGACCTGTGGGTTTTCTTGAGGTCTGATTTAACTTAAATTGCTGGGAATTGTCTAAGTTGCAGTTCCAGAACTCCCAGAGGTCCTTATGATGCGATTAGTTGCCCTGGACTCATATGTAAACAGAAACACCATTAAGGTTTGGACTTTGTAGCTTTCTCTTAATTTGAAAAAAAAAAGTCAAACAAACCAAATTAAGTGTCAGAATAGAATGACATCCAGTTTAGCCTACGTGCCTTGAATTTTCTGGGAGCCCCCAATCATATATCTGCTCCAACCACCGATGGAGGCCAGTGGAGGGCTACCACTTCCTCCTGCTTCACGTGGGAATGCAGATTCTTACTAAAAGAAAGCTAAATAGCTTTCCATAGGAAGTGGGCAGCGATTCCCCTTAATGAAAGATCTGAGATTATTCTGTGTTTTTTGATGAGGCCAGTTGATTTTAGTGAGAATGTGACGTCACTCCTGTTTCCTTTTGGTGGTATTTTGGTTTAAAGGTTATTTAGCAAGTCTTTAGACTCAAAGGCCTCACTGCCCCCGCTACCTTTGAATTCTTTGAAAATAAAAATTAACCCCCCCAAAAAGAACGAAAAATATTTTATTGTATTAGGTGCCACAATGCAAAATACCTGATATGGGTTAGAACTGGTTCTTTTCTTTTTTTTTCCAAAGAAGTTTTTGTTTCAATAAAAAAGTCATTTCATCATAGAGAAAAGAAAAGTGGCTGATTTCATCCATCGTGCTAAGTCCTGGTTTCTTTTAATTGTGGTTTGTTAAGCAGGCTGCAGTACACATATAACATACAAAAATCAACGCAAACTTGCAAGAAATAAAAGAATAAAAGGAAATCAGAAAAATAGAGAAAGAATAAGAACAAAGCAAAGAACAGGAAATGTATAAATAACTTCCCCTTTCATCACAAGGAAAAACAATTTTAATAACTTATCACCTTCTCGCTGAAAGCAACAATCTTTTCATCCCATATCTCATATCTTATTTATAAACAGATCTTATTCAGTCCCTTAATGTTAGGAAAAACATTTCATTTGTGTTTTAGTGGCTCCCTCTGCTGGATATTTTGTAGCATTGCAATGTATTAGATAGAAGAATTGAGTAAATATGTACCGGTACCTCCAGTGTTTTGCCGACTGCACTCTGTTGATCTCTTTAGCAAAATAAAGACTGTTTATTTCCCCTATTTCAAGCTTCTTAAATCAGCCTCTAAATTCAGGAGCACATTGTTTGGATACAGAGCCAAATCTGACTTCTCCTTTTGCTAAAGCTTTCTCCCACAAAAAGGCGGCGGTTATTGTTATATTTTATTTCCTTGTAGTCAATATTCTTTAGAATTTATTTCAAACTTTTTGGGGTTGCATTTTCAGTTAGCCTTATGGCTATGAGGTGTGGAAGATGCTGGAGTCCTCTCTTTCCCATCCTCTCTTTTTCTTTCACCCTGTGGATGTGATGTTCCTATTCACATCTTCCTACTTCGATATTAATTTAGGCGTGGGAAGCAAGGGAGGTTGTAGATTGCACAGCAAGACATGGAGCGCTCTCTCTCTCTCTCTCACACACACCGTGTGTATAACCCAGACCAGGGAAAGAAAAATCCATGCTTTATTCAAGTCTGTAAATCATTATCTTCTTGCTTCATGGCTATGTTGTTATGATAGCAACTTCACCCAAGTCACATCTTGGATAAAACTGGAAAAAGCAGAAGCTCTTTTAGAGAAGAAAAGAAAATCTAGATTTGCCAAGGGAACAATTCCTTTCCAGGCTCCAGTGCTGAATTGTTAGACTAAAGTGTAGGGATTCATAACTAAGTTGTGAAAATCACTTATTAGGGTTTGGATCATTAAGGAACTGGGGGCTAAAACATATGATGAACAGTTACAGGAAAGGGGTATATTTAGTCTAACAAAGAGAAGGATTAGAGTGACTTGATAACCTTCCAATATTTGAGCGGCTATCACAAAGCAGAGGGGGTCAACCTATTCTTCAAAGCCCCTGAAATCACCACTCTATAGAAAAGATGTTGATATTCTAGAAAGAGTGCAGAGAAGAGAAACAAAGATGGAGGCTAAAACATGCGATGAACAGTTGCAGAAACTTTCTCTAGTGAAGAGAAAGACCAGGGGAGACACAATAGCCATTTTCCAAGGCACCTGAAGGCCAGACAAGGAATAATGGATGGAAACTGGTCAAGGATAGATTCAACCTGGAAATAAGGAGGAATTTCATGACAGGGGGAATAATCAACCCATGGAACAGAAGTTGCCTTCAGAAGTTGTGGGAGCTTCATCACTGGAGGCTTTCAAGGAGAGACTGGACTGCCATTTGTCAGGAATGGTGTAGGGTCTTCTGCTTGGGTGGGCATAGAGTTGGACTAGATGACCTACAAGGTCCCTTCTGCTTGGGTGTTCTGCTTGGGTGGGCGTAGGGTTGGACTAGATGACCTACAAGGTCCATTCCAACTCTGTTAATCTGTAAGTAAGTTATCAAAGAGAGATCCAACTAAGGATATTTTTCCTGACAGTGAGAACAATTAACCAGGGGAACGACTTGACTCCAGAAGTTGTGGCTGCTCCATCACTGGAGGTTTTTAAGAAGAGATCTGAGAGCAATTTGCCTGGAATGATTTAGGGCCTCCTTCTTGAGGAAGGGGTTTATACCAGAAGAGTTCTTAGGTCCCTTCCAACTCTGTTGGTCTGTTACGATTGCTTGAAAGAGACTTTAACTTTTTTTCCCTTTTAATTGTTAAAGCAGTCCTATGTTTTCTGGTCTTCCTTGCTGTTTTGGAACCTGCATATGTATTTCTGCACTATCACTTCTCTTTGTTCGGGGGGAAGGAAATGCCAAAAAACATGGTCATTTTCACTCAAAACTTTCTTTCCAACCTGCTCGCTTTGTGTCTGTTGTGAAATTCAGAAGAAAACCTTAGCTGGGCTGAAACAGAAAGCTAAATACGAACTGTGTGATTGCTCAATATGTCAGCTTGGCTTATAGCAGATGTTAAGACCAAGACTGAGTTCTCACAACACATTCAGCCACAAATATCCACTTCCGTTATTCTAATCCATTATTTCGTGTGACTTCAGAGGCAGTGTGGCCCCTCCCTGTAATATTGTTCTGTTTTACCTGCGAGCCCTGCTGTATTGACTCACCTTCTCGATAGGTGAACTCTTGGTTGGCTTATCCACGTTAATCGCTGAAAACTCTGAAAGTCGATTTAGACGTGCATTAATACATCACGTGTACACAGCAACTAAAATTGGTTCTACATTGGCCAAATTACAGGTGTGAGCTACTGATCTAGAGCAGGGGCCTCCAAAGCTGGCTGGAGAATTCTGGGAGTTGAAGTCCTCCAGGTTTAAAGCTGCCAAGGTTGGAGACCCCTGATCTAGAGAGATGATCTTTTCTATGCTGCCCAGAGTCACCATGAATGAATTAGACAGCCATGTACATTTTCTAAGTAAGTAAGTAAGTAAGTAAGTAAGTAAGTAAGTAAAACAATCTAAGTAAGTAAGTAAAACAAACTGAGTAAGTAAGTTAGTAAAACAAACAAACAAACAAACTCAGGATTAGACCTGGGTAGGGCTTAGAGCCTGTAGGGTGTAGTGCTTAAGGCATCGGGATAGAAACCAGGAGACTGTGAGTTCTAGTCCTGCCTTGGACACAAGCTGGGTGACAGCTAGTAAATTTATTTGAATAATTAAATTTACCTTTATGCCAAGTAGAATGAAATTCACCACTACAGGATTGCAAGGCTTTTGAGTACCTAAGCCTGCAGTAAGTGTGTAGTGGGAAAGTGAGTAGGTTTTACAAGAAGGCTAAACGTAACCATGTGCCTGTGCCACATTCCTCCTCCTGCTCCTCCTTTCTTGCTCCTCCTCTCCTCCTCCTCCTCCTCCTCCTCCTCCTCCTCCCCCCTTCTTTTGCTGCTTCTGGTATCTAGGCTAGGGAGATATAAAATTCTGGTTTTTGCTGTTCTGGTGGCATCAACCATTGTTATCTGATGCTGTCATTTCTTTTATTTTGCCTCTCCATCTTCTTCTGGGTCTTCCTCGGGTTCTTTGGCCTTTTCCTCTTTTTGTACATGCTTTGTATGGTATAGAATCCCAAGAGGTTCCCTCCAGGTGAACAAAAACCCCTTTACTTGCCATTTTTGTATATAGCCTAAGTTTCTTTGGACGCTTGCAATAAAACCTCCGTGAAAATTGCTCACCACGGAAATGGAGATGTTTGAGGAAGGCTGCTGGAGTGGCCAGAAGGGATTTTTTTTTTAAAAAAAAGAGAGAGAGACAGTAAGAGAAAGAATAGGAATCGAACCACTCATCAACCACAACAATTCTAGTTTTATTGGTTTATTTATCATTTCGTCTTATTCATGGGAATCAGCATCAAGGTCATTTCTGATTTTAGGAG